TGTGGTGTGTCTTCTGCACATGCATGTGTGGTGTGTCTTATTTCTGTACAATGTGTGTGTGGTGTGTCTTACTTCTGCACACACATGTGTGTGGTGTGTCTTCTGCACATGCATGTGTGGTGTGTCTTATTTCTGTACAATGTGTGTGGTGTGTCTTATTTCTGTACAATGTGTGTGGTGTGTCTTCTGCACATGCATGTGTGTGGTGTGTCTTACTTCTGCACACGCGTGTGTGGTGTGTCTTATTTCTGTACAATATGTGTGTGGTGTGTCTTACTTCTGCACACGCATGTGTGTGGTGTCTTCTGCACACACGCGTGTGTAGTGTGTCTTATTTCTGTACAATGTGTATGTGGTGTGTCTTCTGCACACGCATGTGTGTGGTGTCTTCTGCACACACGTGTGTGTGATGTGTCTTACTTCTGCACACACAAGTGTGTGGTGTGTCTCACTGAACCCACTGGGCTCTCAGCACTTTCAGAACATGAGAGGAGTCACCCTTCGATGTTTCCGGCTTTGGTGGAAAAGCTGTATGTTTCTCAGAACTTATTGTGACGTAGCTGTAGGTTTTTTCACAGATGTTCCTTATCGAATTGAGGAAAGTCCCCTCTGTTCCTAGTTTGCTGGGAGTTTTTATCATAAATGACTGTTAAATTCTGTCAATGCTCTGATGTGGTTTTTCTGTCTATGTAATGGATTACATTAATTGGCTTTCTAGTATTGAACCAGCCTTCCATACCTAGGATTCCTCCCACTTGGTCATGATGTATAATACTTTTATCTGTTGTTGGATTCAATTTCCTCATATTGAATCCAACAACAGATTTTTGCATCTCTGTTCATGAGAGTTGCTACTCTACAGCTTATTTTCTGGTAGGGTCTTTTTGATCTCTGTTCATGAGAGTTGCTGCTCTACGGCTTTATCTTCTGGTAGGGTCTTTGTCTGGTTTTGGCATCAGGATGATGCTGGCCTCACCAAATGAGCCAGAAAGGGTTCCCTTTGCTTCTGTCTTCTGAAAGAGATGGTAGAGATTTGGCACAATTTCTCCCCCTTCCCTAGAGGTTTAGTAGAATCCACAGGGACCCCTCTGAGCTAACTGTTGCTTTTTACGCATAGAACCTGAGGTCCAAAACAGTGGAGTCTGGGCTGGGGCCCTGGAGAGCAGAGGCGATTATCTTTCCAACAAAGTGGACAGCCACTCAAAGCCACGTCTGAGGGATGGTCTTCCATTTTCAATTTATTGTGATTATATACTTTTGTTTTCTGGTTTTATGCAGGGAGGGCCTATTGAAGTTTGTAGGTAAGATTTAGTTGCTATTTGTGAATATACTAATGTTTAAGTATTCCTCTCCTAAATGCATACATTATACCAAAGGACATCCCAGTAGGGAATAGGATACTTGGTTTGTGGAGGAAGGAATCAGTAGTTGGTCTTTAGCCATTTACTAATGAATTTTAGCAGAACTAATTTCCTTCTTGACCTGGGGGTCTGGCCAGAAATTAGCCTGAGGATAAAACATTGTTAAGGAGAAGCCAGTGTTCCATGGAGAACCTCTGGTAGCTGTCAGGTAATGAACAAGCATCCCTCAGCCTAGGAAAATGAAAGCTGAAGAAAGAAAGAAAACTCCAGTCTTTGAAACAGATGGATCATGTTGTGCTTTAACAAAGCCCATTTCCATCTTTTGGTTGTTCCTGGTGAGAACTGAGCATACGGTGGCTGTGGAAGGAGCTTCGCACATTTGGTGGTGATTGTTCAATTTCACTATTTCTTCTGATAAATTTGAGGATTCTAATAAAAACAAATCATCTTCCTGAAAAAGGAAAAGATGTTATGAATAATTTCAGAAAATGGGATCCCTGTATTTAAATTATTAAGATAAATATATTAGACCTCAGGAGAAAAATGTCCTCTTTATCTATACAGAATATGTAGTAAAATTGCATGAGGAAAAAAAGCTGTGATTGATTGCATGTCCTGTGGCAGTCACCAGCAGCCTCGTGCCCTCTGTTTCAGCACGGCTCAGGCAGTGTGCCTAGCTGATCCACCAAAGCCCGTGACGGAATACAAGTACCCCGACAAGCTGCCCGGACAGCTATATGACGCAAACACTCAGTGCAAGTGGCAATTCGGAGAGAAAGCCAAGCTCTGCATGCTAGACTTCAAAAAGGCAAGTGATTACTGGCAAAAGCCTAGCAAGATATGATTCATAAAACTGTTTTATTCAATGCAACTGACACTGATGTATTCTGCATTTATTGGGCGCCTACCAAATGTGAAATCCTGTATGTTAAGCCTGGTCTGATATAACAGGGAACACGTGTTTTGCTGGCACAGAAGGTGATGGTGGATACTGTTGTGGGTATCACTTTTCACTGGAGCACTGACTTGGCCTGTTAGGTCCCATCTTTCTTTCTGATTTATCTCGTGGGAGTTCAGTCAGTGTGAGTCAGCCCGTTGATACTCGACATCTTCTAAATGGTATTAAGAAAACGAGGTTATGCTCCCTCCTCCCCCATGAGCATAATTTACTATGAAGCCGTAGCCCATCTAGGGCTTCTGATTAGTAAATTCCCCCAAATAAAGTGGCATTTATAAAGTCATTTCTCATAGAAGGTGAGATCTACTCTAGGAGACCCCAGGGACCCCACCAGAATGATTTCCTAACATTAATTCCTCATATAACACAGAGGCACAGGCTCTTGTTGGTTAAGGAAAATTAAGATTTAAGAACTTTCTCAACTGAACCATAAGAAAAGCTACCCATAAATTAAATGAATGTAACTATTTTTGAGGTTTCTTTTATTAATGACATCAAGAGTAAAATGGATAAAAAAATATATACATCTGGTTCTGTAGAAACTTACAAACATTTCAGAATGCTCTGGAAATACTCCCAACTTCAATCTAACATGATAATCTTCTTTCTTTCAAGCTCAAGTAGAGCTTCCCCAAAGATCAATTGCAGCCATGTGCCAGGACTGGATTATTATCTCCTTGGCTGGGTAAGCTCAGCTTGAACAAGAATAATAAATCAGTCAACAGCAGCATGGATTTCCAATGCTGCCTTTTCCTGTGGGCAGATGTAAATTCCCTAAGGATTTTTTTAGTGTTGCTATTCTATTTGTTAAGCAAAAGAGGTATAATATTAGTGTTTTCTTTCAAAGATGAGATCTTCTAAAACATACTTCTGGTTTCCACAGTAGTTTGCTTTGTGATCGACCGTTGACCAGGTCAATTATGGGACTCTAGTGACACTTGGGAAATGTGAGCAGTAATAGATTAGGCACACGGTATCTTCTAATTATTGAGGAAATACTTACAGGAAATGAAATGCATTCATCTCAAGTGAATTTGTTAAATTTGTTAAAATTTAAATTTGTTAAATTTGTTAAATTTGTTAAATTAATTAAAATTTAAATTTGTTAAATTTGAAATTTAACAAATGTGTTCACACATTAGCCAGAATCCCAAACAAGACACGGCATATTTCCTCAAAGCTACAAAGTCCCCCACTTCACATAACCTTCCCCACGGCCACCAAGCAACCCTTGCTCTGATTTATATCACCAGTACTGAGTTTTGCCTATTCTTAAACCTCTTAATTACTTTTTCGATGTGTTAAAAGTAAAATCCATGCTATTTCACCATTAAGTATGATATTAGCTATTGGTTATTACACAAATGTCTGTTATCAAGCTGAGTAAGTTCATGTCTAATTCTGGTTTGTTGAGAGATTTTATCACAAAATTTCTGTCAAATTTTGTAAAATGCTTTCTTTTCTATGTCTATTGATACAGTTATATTGTTTCCTCTTTTATTTTATTAGTGTACTGAGTTATACTGATGGCTCTTTAATGTTTATTTCATTGGATTTGAATATAAGTCAACCCACATTCCTAGAATAACCCTGCTTGGTCTATGACTCATAATTTGCTGATTTGAGTGGTGAATATTTTGTTTGGGACTTTTGCATCTGTGTTTTTGAATGATATTACTAAGACATCTTATTGTCATAATTTTTTTCAAGAATTGCTATCAGGACTGGGTGTGGTGGCTCACACCTGTAACCCCAGCACTCTGAGAGGGTGACAAACACCTCTTGCCCGAGACCTGCCTTGGATCTCACGTCTTCTCCTACTCTGTGCCTGAGTGGCCCCCCCCTTTCCCATTGGGGCACCACTTCCCAAAGGCACCTTGTGGTGATTTATGGTGGATTCTCTTTTTGCTAGTTAAGGCCAAGCTCAGAGTACAGGTGTGGGTTTTATTCACCATGGAGTCTCTGCCTAGCAAGATGTCTCATATACTTCAAATTTTCATCCTGGGTTTGGGGCAAGAAGATACATGGATGAATGGATGGATGGATGAATGGATGGATGGACGGACGGACGGACGGACGGACGGATGGATGGATGGATAAGTCAATGAGTATTTAATAATCCTTAATTCAAAAATCAGGATTCAGAGAAGAAGACGTTATTTGAAGGTGGGGTTGAGAAAAATATGCTAAATACAAGGTTTCTTTTTAATTTTAATTTTTTTAATTTCTGAAATGCCTGGATCAAGCATATTTTACTTTTTTAACTTAGTATAATTTACATCGAATGTATGATGAATAAGTACAACTGAAGTTTCAGGGGCGGAATTAATATGAACTGACTCTGTAACAGGGGTCTCCTCACTTTATTCTGTGAATCTCTTGCTAAGTAAATATCCACTTTTAACTTACGTCAGTTGTTTTTCCCTTAAACTTTTTAGTGATATTTATCATAGGTATATGGGCAACATGTAATCCTAATAACCCCCTCTTTTTTTCCCTTTAGGACATCTGTAAAGCCCTGTGGTGCCACCGGATTGGGAGGAAATGTGAGACTAAATTTATGCCGGCAGCAGAAGGCACTGCGTGTGGGCACGACATGGTAAGAGCACGGCTGGACACAGCGTCACTCTCGGAGGCCAAGGTCTCCTCCACCTGGCTTTCTCCTCTTGCACTGGTACTTTTGAACCTGAACTTCTCACACGTGTGTGTCAAACACTATTGCTATTTTCTGTCAGTGCTCTGAAGAGGGCTCCTTTTCTTATGTGAAAATAGAATTGATGAGCTATCTGGAATTCACAGACCTAGTGGTGACTAAATTGATTTAATCAGAGGAAATGTTAAAACACAGACTGCATTTAGCTATGTGGAGGACCAGCAGTCCGTAGCTCTGTGAAGGCCTCAGAGCATCAGTGGGATGACTCTGGGGCAGACCATTTTGAGCTATGTCATTCCCACAACAAAAGAAGGGCGCTGTGATGGGGGTACAGGAAAGACAGAAGCCAGCAAGCTTATTCATAGTGGTGGAGAGTGACGATTTTATCTTCACGACTTAAAAAATAAATTATCTTAGCACTCAAGGGTAACATGTTAATTCTTTGGTCTAACAATTACATTGTTTCTTTCAGAATATGAGAGATAACTGATAAAGACAGAAACATACTGAGCCCAAATTATCACTGTGTCTGTTTTTGCTTTCCCTGATTTTGTTAGTGACACTGAAGAGTATGGAAGAGAAAAACCTTCCTAGATACCATCCATCTCTTGTGTTTAAACTCCAGAAAC